TTTTTTTTTTTTTTTTTGGTACCGGGGATTGAACTCGGGTCCTTGCGCTTGTGAGGCAGGTCACCAAACCGCTGAGCTAAATCCCTGGTCCTCAATCTTTTTTTAAATCATCTTGCAGCATCTATTCTTTTCTCCTATGTATAAATGCTTGTACTCATATATACTTCTCTCCAGAGCCACCAACAAAACCTGCAACCTAAATCCCTAATTTAAAATAAAATTTACTCTATGAGAAATATATTTATGATCCCAAACTCTTTAATGCGTTGGAACCAAACTGTCCAAAATTTTACCTTTTCCTAACAAAAGCCCTCAGTTAACTTTGAAAATGCCACGTACCATAGCAGTGGGCTTTCCAGAACAGAGACCATTTGTCAATGGTGAATCTACGTTTCAGCCTCCTGCAGCATAATCTCCTTAATTTTGTCATTAGTTTTCATAAGCTTCTAAACTTTTTCTTAACTGACATATTTGGAATTTCCCTTCCCTCATTTAGCTTAGCAACTAAAACCTTTCCCAGCATGTGGCTTACGATGGGGGCAGTGAATGAGTTATGCGATAACCCTCAGTTATGGCCCTTACAACATGAGTTACATCACGTGCAAAGCTTCATGACAAGTTCTTGACTTCAGAAATAAGATGCCTATAACTATGGTCCTCCACCCCTGTGTTACATTAAATTAGAGGGAATGTTAGAAATGATAACCAAGATATCCAAGGCAGGACCTCTTTCTAGCTGATTATAAATATTGATTTGCTCTTCAGATTATGTATTTATAAGATAGTTTCTGTAGCTTGATATGCCAGGATTTAATTATGAATTGCTAATGGATGAGCATAAATATGTCTGTATATATAGATCCTGGACAGGAGACAACGTACATTTTGACAGTTTTCATTGGATATCTGTGTAATTGCTAAGCAAGTACATGAAACTAATTTAGAAACCTAGCAGTTGAATCTTCTTGATTCCAGTAAAGATGAAATTATTATTGGCTTTCTCTAGTGTAGAAAGATTGCACTAGACAGTCTTGACCATTTCTTGTAGTTATAGAATTGGTGATTTTGTGATTTATTGTCTGTTTTAGTCAAAACTAGTAACAGATGGCTCCAGGAGTTTGCAATGAACCAGGAAAAGAGCCATTATTACACCTAGCATGAAAAACTTTCAGGCCAAAGTTGAAAGCAAATTCTAATGTTTCCTCACTTATTTACACCTACATAAAGAGGACACAGGTAATTTGGAAGGGGGGGAAACAGAACAGGAATACCTGATCTGATGGACAGCAGGTCCTTATTTTTCCTTGTAGAGATTTTACTTATTAATTTCTTTAAGATAGTTACAGGATGGTGTTTACTAATCAATGTTTAATTATTGACATTCACTTCTCAGCTGTGCTTAGGCAAACAGCTCTAACCATTTTATCAGAAGTATTGGCTTCCTTTTTTCTCATTAGCTATGTGACTTTTTAAATTAAATGCTGTCTCCTCTTTAAATATAAATGACCTTTCTCTGTGGTACTTTTTTTTTCATTCATTCATTCAGCAAGCATTTATTAGGAGTCTATTCTACTCTTACCATGGTGGAAGGCCCTAAGATCAGCAAGGTCCACCCAAGGACCATTGCGTATATGCAGATGAGTGTTCCCCATGCTCTGATCTTTATCCCCAATTAGCACTTGCTTTCCAGAGCCTGACTTTGCTCTGTGGACACCAACTTGGTTGCAAAGGCAGTCTATGGAGTGTAGAATGTAAAAGAACATCAATTCTGACTTGCTTTTTGCCCTTTTTTCTTCTGAAATAACTTAATTTTTATAGTTTTAAGTTCACAGAAAAGTTGCAAAAGTTGGAACAAAGAAATCCTATATATCCTTTACTGGATTTGTCAGTTATTAAGTATGTCTTTACCTGTGCTTTATTTTCTCCCATCAGCAATACTGGGGTTTTCATTCTCAGTCATAAATATATATGATGTGTTTTTATACACATATGCATATAAATATAGCTCCATATGTGTATATATGTAAACATCTATATATGCATAATACGCACCATCATGCTTTATCGCCCTAAATACCTTAGTGAGAATTTTCTAAGAACTTAGATGTATCACCATTTAGCCATCATATAATAATTAATATCAAGAAAGCAAAGATGCAGCAGTATTATCACATCCACAGTCCATATTCATATTGTTTTAGTTTCCCAATCACATCACTCAAAGCTATTTTCTTTTCAGTCCAGAACTGTGCACTGCATTCAGTTGTCATTTTTCTTTAGTTGCTTTAAGTCTGAAACATTTCGTAACATTTATCAATAGGCTGCCAATTTTGTGGTATTTTCCTCAAGTGGACATTGTCTGGTATTCCTTCTGATTGGATTTAGGTTATGCATTTTTGGCAGAAATATCACAGAAATGATGCCGTGAACTTTGTAATGCATGGTACCTGCTTATCTCTGTGGTAGTAATGTCGACTTTAGTCATTTGGCTAACGTGGTCGTCTTGTAGGTTTCTACACACATTTACCCTTGGCAATTAATAAGTAATTTGTGTGAATACTCTTTGAAAATATATTTCGTTTTCCCCATCAAACTTTCACCCTCTAGTTTTAGCATCCAATCTTCTTGTGTTACATATCTGCATGTGAGTACGCTTCAGAAGGTTCATAAAAACATTAACAACATATATAATTTATAACATGAATAAATATACATATATTGAAATCTTGTAAGTTGGTGTTCAGAAATTTTAAAAACTAATAATCTTATACAATAAAAAATGTTTGAAGACCTTATTGGATGGGATGGTCAGGTTATTTACTAGCTTTGAATTATTGTAACCTTGCAGGTTTGGATTTGTAATCAGGAAACTTCCTCTCCCAGTGGTCCTGGACTTATTTGCAACATCAAGTTGAATATTGTTGCTTGTCAGAAATTTATATTTTTCTTTCTTCTTCTCTTCAAAGTATATACTGTCACATCAGTATCCGATTAGTAGAAGAAGGAAGAGAAGCTTTTAAAAATGTGGCCTGTGGTAGTGATGAGTGAATGCCCCAACATGTTACCCAGGGTGTTCCTACCTTATTTACTTATTTTTTGTTTCAGATTGTTACTGCTTTAACCTGTTCCCTGAGAACATGTTCAAAGCTTCCAGATCTTTGTGGGGGAGGGTAGGAACCCAGAAAAACAATATTTGAGACTTAGACTGGCATCATTGTGCCCCAAGCATTGGTCACTTGGGTACAAGTTCCATGAAATGTCATATCTGCATTATTATTTGTTCAATATTTTTCTTTAAATCAGTTTTAGTATATGTGCTGCTGAAGTGAGCACTCTTTAAATCAGTTTTATATAGACATTTCTCCAAAAGTTATCATCCTTTTAGAATATGGGATCTTTGAAATCACAGAGTTGATGCACTGATTTATATTTAAAAATACATATTAAATAAATTCAAATCTTAAAAGAAAACTTCACCACTACGCTATTAATGTCAGCAGCACAAAACCTTTGCCTTTGGAAACCGTGTTGAAAACTATATCAAAGGGCTGGGGATTTAGCTCAGTGGTTCTGCCACCTACCTCGCAAGTACAAGGTCCCCACTTCGATCCTCGTGCCAAAAACAACAACAACAACAACAACAACACCAAAACAGAAAACTATATCGGGACATTCACCAGATGTTCTTTGCTTTATAGAGGAGGAAGAAATGTAAGGCAAAGAATTCAGTTAGGTGTAGTGTAGATGAGAGTTAGCTGATTCACATAAGGGCAAATCTTTTGGTTTCTCAGTTTCATTCAATTTAAACTGGATTGCAATAGCTCCTTACTGGTTACATGACATCAATGAATTATTTTCAAAAATTTATTGAGAACTGAATTTGTTTAGGGCATCGCCACCACAGTCTCCTCCTGTGCCCTCGGGCTGCTTCTTTCTGAGTTCTAGGGTCCAGCCAGCCCTGAGGGCAGTTAGTGTTTTGCTAATGCGGGCTGCAGCACAAGGGTCCTCCCTACCCACAGTGCTACCTACATCTGTGGATTCAGCCCAACCCAAATCATATGCTACGTAGTCAGGACATGTGGTTTTCCTTGTCATTATTCTCTCCACAGCAATGATTTACCTACCACATACTCTGTCTTACACATTATAAGTAATCTAGAAATGATTTATATCTATCTATCTATCTATATGCAGATGCTATACCATTTTATATGAGAGCCTTGAACATCAGCAGATTCTGGTGCCCACAGTGGTGGTGGGCATCCTAGATCCATTTCCCCATGAATACACAGGAACAACTATACCTGTATGAGGACTAGAGAGATGATATAGAAAATAATATGTGCAAGAAAGGAGTTTGGATGTTTTTGTTTGTTTGAAGAAGCCGCATAAAGATTTGTTTAATTCAGGTAGAGGAAATGAAAGCAGATAAGCATTGAATTTAGAGGATGCAGATTTGCTAAGTGTCAAAGTAGTTCTCCCTACAAGACAATAGGCAGTACTTTTATACAAAATTGTAAATAGATTTTTCCTTTTCCCTTAAATTATAATTTTAGCTGGGTGTGGTGCTGCATGCCTGTAATCCCGGCACTTGGGAGGCTGAGGCAGGAGTATCGCTGTGAGTTTGAGACCAGCCTAGGCTACATAGTGAGTTCCAGGCCAGTCTCAACTACATATTGCAATAACTCCTTATTCAAAAAAAGAGCAAAAAAATTATAATTTCAACTATTTGCTGTACATGCAAAAAATTACTGTCGGGACCTATGGGGATCTTTATGTACATTTAATATTTTGTTTGTATCTAGTAGAAGTGCTAGAATAAAATAAAGATATAAAAAGTGTGATGATGGAAAAATAGAAGTCATACCATTGAAGGTAAGTAGCGATGGATGACGATTTCAGAAGAGCAAAATGAAACAGAAGCTGCTTCCGGATGGCGTCATTTGATTGGTTTGCACTGAATTCTGTCCTTCTTCCTGTCCCGTACCCTAAATCTTCAGAAAGGAGCTCATTGCCAAACTGGACCAGGCAGAAAAGGAGAAGGTGGACGCTGCCCAGCTGGTTCGGGAATTTGAGGCCCTGACGGAGGAGAACCGGACCCTGAAGTTAGCGCAGTCGCAGTGTGTGGAACAGCTGGAGAAGCTCAGGATACAGTATCAGAAGAGGCAGGGGTCGTCCTAACGTGAAATTATTAAACGTGCACGTGAGAGGCTGCTGACTGCTGTGCGCTGGCCAGAAGCTTGTTCTTTTAGAGGGATAGCGAATAAAATCCACTGCTTCTCTTCATTACTCACATGGCAGATTCCTAGAATGAGAGTTTAATGTTTGCCAGCTTCTAGCTTGAGAGAAGGGATATTTTATTTTAAGTGAGATCATTAGTGCGAAGCTATTGACCATATATATTTTCAGAGATCGGAATTCTTTTTCAAAGATATATATTTTTTCTTATTTAGCAAGATGTGATCTTACTGTACACCAGCCTAGGAAATAATCAAAGTAGAATGCTGACCGACCCCGTTAAAAATCACGAGCCACGAAATACACCAGTAAGATGCTCACTGTCGTTCCACGCTGGTGCCTTTTTAAATTTCATGCTTTTCATACTCCAAATCTGCTCAACTATAGAAGCCAGCAGAAACTTCTCTGCGTAAGTTGGTGTGCACCAGGCGGATGCAATCCTTCAATGATAGGTTTCCGAAGAATGAATAATTGCACATCCGTAAAAGCCTCCCCATGAAAATGTGAGCAGAAATCGTATCTGTGCCAAAACCTCAGTTGCTTATGCTGACATGCTGGTGGGATAAGGACACAGAAAGGGCTTCTTCATTTTCTTCATCTGTGTTCACTGGCCAGCAATATCTCTGCCTTTGCTTGCATGTGTTTGGGGGTTTGGGGAAACGGAACAGTGTCCTCTGGACCTTGCTGGGGTCAGTTCCCACGAAAAAACAGTGAGATTATAATTATCACTTTTCTTTGGATTTAAGGAAATGCTTTAGGTCAGTAATGACTGATGGGAATATGTGGATAAATTCAGAATTAAAGTGGTTTTTCCCTCACTCTAGCTAGCACCATATTTTCTCACATTGATCTTTGTTTTATGTTCATTTCTACTCATGTAACTTTTTTTTTTCCATTAAACATGAATCAAAAACTGCTGGGTTGTGTTTTTCTCCTTCCTTAACCCCATTTGTGCTGAAAGCTGGGATTTCCCAACCTATTTATAATTAATTCTTTGCTGTATGTGCTAAAAAAACCCCCAATAACCCAAACCCAAACCCAAAAACAAACACCAAAGCAGTTCTTTTCCTTGGTAAAACTGCGATTTCCCATATAGGTAACTTAGAGCACACTGATTACGACACATTTATGCCTTGGGGCATTTTTCCATAAAATATAAAGAATCCTTTGCTAAAATAATATGATGGCCTTGGATAGGTTGGTGGTTCTCAACCGGAAGTGATTTTGCTACCCAGGGGTATTGGGCAGTGTTCTGAGACATTTTCTGTTGTTGCCAGAACTAGGAGAATGAACCACTGGCAGCTGAGGGTGGAGGCCACGGGTGCTGCCAAATGCTCGCAGTGCACAGGACGGTCCCCCCAGTGAAGAACTTTTGGGACCAACATGTCATTAGCACCGAGATTGCTGGGGCCTGGGGTGGGCTAATTGCTGGGTGGTTGGGGCAAAGCCACGGGGAAGCACATCGCAGGACCCGGAGCTCTGGCCATGTGGTACAGAATCTGAGAGGCTCTTTAATTTCTAAACCCTCCACTGCCTCTTTTGTCACATGAAGCTTTCCTGCAGATCCTAAATGTTATGTGACACTATTCACCCTCATGCTTTAATATTTGACCAAAAGTGAAAGTATCCGTGGTCCTGGAAAAGCCTTCCTTTTTAGTAACTCTGAGGCTTACAATACTAATAAACAGATATGGTATAGGCCAGTGGGATGAGAGAAAGAAGAGTAACTCATGTACTAACCTTTAAATGCAAAGATGCATCTTTGGTCGGTGCTTCTCCCAAAGGTGTTGTGTGTATTAAAGATCTCACGCAATGACAGCTCTTTGCAGAAAGAGATGGGTAGGGAAAATATAGTGCCAAGGTCTGTCTGCTCCGCCAGAATGAACATAATTTAATGGAGTAAAAATATTTGAGTACCACTGGTATTATACTGGGGAATCACTGAATAAGTGGTTTTCATATCTTTGCTAGTCTCAGCCTGAAATTTCTTCTCAGTCTTATTTTCATCCATTTGGCCAGTTCCCACTAATCTTATGTATCACCGTGTATTATCTGTGTAACACAGATCATTGAAAACTTTCCTGTCTTTAGTGTTGAGGGCATAGCTCTGTGTTAGTGCTCTAGCCTAGGAGCACATGCAGGAAAAGAAAAAAGGAAGCAATTTCTATCTTCGAACATTTGTAATATCTGTGTTATTAGCAGTGAGGGAAGTGTGTTAGAGCATTAAAGCCAAATGCAGAGGTCCCATTAGTATCAGGGCAAAGGTGACAGATAAGAAAACGTATCTCATGTTGTGTTCTGCAACTGCTCCACCGAAGGGTCTACTGTGTCATTGAGTTTGTGTAGACGTGAGGCAGATGTGGCCGTCTGTGGCTGGAAGTCACACTCTGACTACGTTAGTCAAGTGAGGTTTCCAAAAAGTAGAGACAGGCACAGGTGACAGCATGTGATTTGTGGGACTGGGTCAGAGAAGACACCAGAGACTCCTCCTGACTTGCTCTCCCTTGGCCTGTGGCCATGTTGTAAAGAGAATCAAGCAGAGCGACACAGAGGCCCACGGCCACAAAGCGAATGTAGAATCAGATCCTCTAGCCCCATGCAGAATGTCAAATGGCTGAGGGCTGGCTGCTCCCTTGAGTGAAACCTCAGGAAAAACTGAGCCAGAGCCAGCCTGCTCAAGTGCTCCTGGTTCCCTATACTCAGGAACTTTGAGAGAATAAATGTCACTAAGTTTTGGGGTGATTTGTTATGTAGCACCAGATAATATATATGTGAAATAAAGAAAAAAAAACTATATAATTCATGAATGCACATAAAAAAGGGAGGATAACTGAAAGGATGTGTCAGGTATGGCTTCCTGAAGCAGTGACTAATGAGATAAGATCTGTGGGTGAGTAAGAGCTATAGAAGCAAGAAAGGAAGACAGAGGAAGAAGATCTAAACAATGAAAATATGTGCAAAGGCCCTGTGGCATATTCAAAGACTTGAAGGTAAGCCAGTTTGGCTGAGCATGAAGACATAAGAAGCATATAAAATGTGATGAAACTGTCAAAGAAGGCAGGAATTTAAAGATTACATTAAGAAGTTTGATCTTAATCCAAAAAACAAAGAAGCTATTAAACAATTCTGAGCACATGATTAGTAACATATTCTCTGCTAGAATATCACATTTAAATAGTTTTCTTTCATAAGATAGTTCATTTTCAGTTGCTTAGAGTGTGACACAGTTATTTATGTCATTCATAGATACATGGGTGGATAGATTGCTAGATGATAAGGTTGTTATGTACTTTAAAGAGTAATTGGAATGAATATTTTTCTCCTGAGAATAAAAGTAATATATTCTATATAGAACACAATACCAAGTGTTCTGCCAGAATAAAAAGCAGATAAATTTAATTTGGCAACTCCAACAATCCTGCTTTTTACGAAAATTTCTGTACTCCATCCACGTTTCTAACCCTGCCTGCCTCATGTTTCAAAGTTGCCAAGTCCACAACAGCGGATTCCTAAGCTGGAACTCTTTGTTTTAAATTTTATTTTTATTTTTCCCCATTGTTTATTGGAACATTTAAGGCAAACAGTGCAGTTACATTTATCACTGGGGTCCTGTACCTTTACATGATGTGTCTTGGTTTTTATTTTCCCCCATCCCCCTGCCCTCCCTTCACCCCCTTCACCCTTCTCTATTTACAAAGACTCTGTTTCCATTTTTGCATAGTTTTCTTTTCCCTTCTTTCCTTTCCCCTCCTCTTCCTACTTCCCCTTTAGCCATTTTCTTCCTATTTTCGCGCTATCGATTAAGCTTGAGCTCTCAAAACAATTTTTTTTAAAGTTACTGTCTCTGTTACTTTTGAATAATGATAGTAATCAGATCCGAGGATTCAGATCACATGGAGGGGCATTTCAAAGGTAGAGATGAAGTAACTCAGAGCCCATAGCTAGGTCCTTTCATTCTTAATCGCTCTGCGTTCAGGAACTGGGAATATATATATGTTTTATTTCTCATCAGTTACAAACAAATGCTCCCTGGAAGAAAAACTCGTTCTGCATTTGTTCAGCCAGTTTCCGGCCAAGTGTCGAAACCCTGCCCACGCGTTCTTCTCTGGAACTCTGCATGACCACGCCGGTTCCGAGTGTGCGCTCCTGGGCAGCTGGAGAGGCAGGGAGGGAGGGAGCAGCTTTTACGAGGGCTGATTAGCGAAGCTGCCGTAATGACCAGGGGATGAGGGGCCTGACTCACAGACGCTGGGAATCAGTCTTTCCCTGGGGGAGCTGGGCTTTCAAGAACTTTTCACTGGCTGCTTAGGTCGGTCGGGGGAAGTCGTTTAGGAGCAGCGCTCTGAGCCTGAGAGCCTGGGTCGGTGTGTAAAAAGGAGGAAGCAACATTTCTTCCCCTCCGCCAAAAGAAGAGGCATGTGTGAGTGCAGATGAAGACAGTCTGTTTTATCTGTCACCAGACACGTCTGGGGCAGTGGCTGTGCTCTCAGGTCAGAGTCCTGAGAAGGGAAAGATAAAGAGATCGCAGGACAAGGTAAAACTGTACGTGTGAAACAGTCCCCCTGATCGGGCTCCCTCGCAGCGGGTTCACTGCTCCTACAGGCAGTAAATGCTGACCAAGCTCACTCCCCCTCCTCCTTATTCCTGTAAATAAGGATGTGACTCACAATCCCTGCAATCTCCAAAATGCCATAGATTCTATGGTGATATGGTTATTTAAAAATAGCTGGGGAAAAAATGGCGAGCAATTGGTCATGGTGGTTTCTTTTGTTTTTGTTTTGTTTTGCGTTTAGACTGTTTTGCGTCTGGCGCTCAGAGTTCCGAGAACATGCAGTCTGTTCAAACCTTTGGGACTTATCATTTCTGGAAACCAACGACATGAACATGCCGGTCTGATCTCAGATCCTAGGCAAGAAACAAAGAAAAAAAAAAAAAATCAAGACTCAGCAGGGAGTCACCGGTCTGCGGGCCAATCTCTTTCCTTCTCTGTGCAGAGATGAGTGTCAATAGCAGTTAAAGGCACTGGCCTCCGCCTGGAGACTGTTTCGCAAGGATTTCAGATTTAGGGTGCTGTAGTACGCCTTGTAAATGGTGTCTGTTGGTCTTTAGCTAGCTGGTCCTGAATCAGGAAACAAAGGACCTCTTTATGGTTAGTCTGGTGTGGAAACCCCCAGGGTAGAATTTCTGACAAAACTGGATATGAATTCAAGTTTCAGGATTAAGGTTCGCACAAGGAATCTCTATTTACTGCTCATCTCAGTGTTTCCCTGTATAAGTCAAGGTCCTGGCAGAAAAAAGGAGAACGCTCCAAGGGGGTGGGAGATGAAAGACAGGTTAAGAATAGGAATGTTTGCAAAGTTGGGGGCAGATTAAGGGAATCCCGAAGGGCTGGGGAGAGCTTGGGAAGGAAAATCTCCCTGAGGCTTTCAAGGGCAAAGGAGGAGCAGCATTAGGATCCGGCATGAGCTGTGTCTGGGAGAGAGCTTCTCGCCAACACTGATCTTCCTTAAGAGCTTGTCTTTTGGTGAGGGAGCCAAGTAACAGTCTACACGGGGCGTGGCAACGAACAAGAGGATAAACCACCCGGTTTCTTCTTCTGTCCTTTTCTCTTCTCCTAGTGGCTCCCATGGACCAAGCTCAACGGAAAGCCAGAGGGAGAGGGAACTGGGTTGCTTTGGTCCATGCAGAGTCTCCCAGGGCACTGAGATGGTTGAAGAGTGGAGAGGATGTGAAGGGACACACAGAGAGTCTCCATGACAGACCGACAAGCTGGAGAGATGCCTGTGTTTCAGTATCAAGTAAAGAAAGCAGCATAGCCAGGCTTGTT